GATCTTGAACCAAGAATACCATTTTGAAGAAAATGATTTTCTTGGGTCAAGAGAATAAATTCTTGAGCCAAGAAATTATTCTTGATTTAAGTTAATTTTTCTTGTCTCAAGAATTTATTCTCTTGACCCAAGAAAATCATTTTCTTCAAAATGGTATTCTTGGTTCAAGATTTTGGCTATTGAGTCAAGTTAATTTTTTTATCAGTGTATGAAAAAAGTGATACTGAAAGTAACAGAAGTTAGACAGTAATTTCGTTTGTCAAACAAGTAGCAAAATTATTATAAAAAAGTCATGTAAGTCATTTTATATGCTAACAAAAATTTTTAAAATGTCTTTGTAAATATATAATTTCTTATCTATATGTTCTTAAGTCAAGAGAACAAATTCTTGGCTCAAGAATTTATCGTCTTGACTCAAGAAAATTCTTTATTTTTAAAATATTATTCTTGGTTTAACGTGCACTTTTAGATTTGTCATGGAAAAGCTTGCAAACTTTTTTACAGTATTGACATTGTATTGATTGACTGATTGTTTATACTTGCTAATTTAAGAGATCGTTGTGAAAAGTTTTACAAGCTTCACTAACGCGTATTTTGAAAAAAATTTTTTTTTTCTATTAATATCCACTTTATTCACTCAAACATCAGTAATTAATATTTTTTTCTATGAAAAAAACCAAAAATTATTATTATTAATAAATATCTAGTATTTTCAGACGATACTGAAATCTGCAAACATGTTTCATATATCATATTTTCCAAAATTTATACGCGTAAAAGATTTTTTATAATTTTCTTCATAATAACTTTTTGTATCAAGAAAAATTACAAATAAAATTTTGGAAAATCCAAAAGTGCACGCCTCATAATCTCATTTTTCACAATAAAATTGATTAAAATAAATGATAAAAAGCAAAATAATAAATAACAGATAACTCTGCTATGGTTAGTGGCGTCATAACTCTGAGGTGAGGAAAAAAAATACTATAATAAAATGTATAGATAGATATACAATAAAATCCACAGTCATAAATTAGTTTTTTATCAATAATAATTTAACGACAGTGAATTGAACGCTCATATTAATTAAGAAAATCCGTCGTGATAATAAAAAAAAATTATTCCGGTACGATCATTTTTTCGACCAATTTCCCTGCCACATACACCCATCCATACACGGACGTCCAAAAAAGATTATATTTAATGTTATTATTTACTATGTTAAACAAAAAAATTGTTATTGAAATAAATTTTATGTGCCTTACAAATTATTTGACTTGATATAAGTGTACTCATATTAATCTGTAAGTGCGATATAAATAACAAAAAATCAATTTCAGTTTCGAGAAAACTGCTTTTTTTGAAATGTCGAGAGTAGAGCACAACCTCAACGCTTCGCTTATAAGGCGTGCAATATTAAACATCGGTTAATTTCAGTATCGCTACTGTCATTACCACAGAGTTATTAATTTAATACTCAATAAAATGATTACTGTACGTTTTACTATTAGAGAAGAACACAGTATTTTTTAATCGAATATCGAATATGTTGATAAAAAATTTTATTTGATTTAGATACGAATAAAAGTAGTTCCTTATCTGAAAATAGTATTATTGTTCTTTAGCTCATGACAAAAGCAAAAAAAAAAAAATTGCAACTTAGTTATTTTTCCATGCATAGTTGCATATTCATGGGAGATAAATACAGATACATACTTAAAAGTAATAAAAAGGTTTTTATTTACGATTGTTACTTTACCTTAAATTCTCTTGACTCAAGACCCTGTACTTCTCTATAACAGATTCTCATTCTTTTACTTTATTACTTAAACCCAACATTATCCCTTGGGCTACCAATCCCAAGTAAAGTTTGTTATACAACTTGGTACGAACATGCGAACTTCCGAACATGTCTGTCTTTGTCAGTTTAGCTACACTAGAGCTAATGCTACAAGTATTCTAGGTACTGAGGTAAGCTCTTGACGACGATTTTCTTTACAAGTTTGAGTTGATTTTGGTGCTGATGCTTTACTTGGCGACTTGGTGTGCTTCTCAGCTCAACGAAAAACTTAGTTATCATTGTCGCTGGGGAATTACCAATGAAACCACCGCAGTTGAAACTTTTGTGTCTTATATCTGTCGTTTCAAGATAAGACAATAGATACTTAATGAATCAACAAATATAGAACAATTTTGACACCTTGTTATTGATTAATATTCCTTTTCTCATCCAGTATGTATATTTTTTTTTTGACATACCTTTCGGATTAACCTAATTTAGTAACGATCCACTTTTATAATTTAGATGAAAAATATGAAAATATATACATTGATGAAGACATTTTATTCGTAATGTGATTGGTCAAATATATCATAAGCATGAAAATATAGATAATTCCATACCAACATTCACACGCGCGCGCGTGTGAATGTTGGTATGGAATTATCTATATTTTCATGCTTATGATATATTTGACCAATCACGTTGCGAATAGTTTGCTCTTACATGATATATTTTCATATTTTTCATCTAAATTATAAGAGTGGATGAGAATACTTTGATAGGTATGTGATGGCAAATCTTGTCAGTTGTTTCAGTGGGACAACTGCACAAGAATGTAGTGACATCTAGCGAAAGTAATTTGTAAGGTTGTAGATAAAGTAGACCGCTAAGTAGCAATTATACTTACCCTGATAATGTGGCTATTACACAAAGCTACCCTGATAGCTACAGTTTCAGACCAACCAAGTTGGTGTCAGATAGTTGCCACCAACTTACCAACAACTTGCGGTCAACTTCCGAATTTGAAACTGTTGGCGTCAAGTTGGCTACAAGTTTCTGAGAAAAACAAGACCAATCTACTGCCGCAATATGTCGCCAAATTTCTCGAGAAACTTGTCGTCAACTTGGTGCGAAAGAGTTTCGAAAGCAATTTCTGCCGACAACTTGGTGAACAACCGAGTTCATTTCCAAGACTTGCCGTCAACTTGGTGACAAGTTGCTGCAGCAAATCAACGGAAAGTTGCGTCCGGTTTGGCTATCAGGGTACAAAGCTTTCTCGAAAAAAGTGAAAAAAAAGTTGTCCATCAGTGGTTGCAGTCAATTTGACGCTAAGTTACTACCAAGTCTGTTGCTATATAGATCGATATTCGCAGGCAAATTGGATAGGAATCTACTGCCGCAAATTGACAGAGCAACATTTATGATAAAACATAAAAATCATTTTCGCTTAGGTTTCACGTGCACGGAAAAAAGAGTAGATGCACCTAGCATGCTGCAAGATGATACATTCCTGTTGTTGCAATATTTATTATTATTATTATTATTATTATTATTGTTAATATTATTATTATTATTAATAATAATAATAATAATAATAAAATCAATAATAATCACTTAGATTTGATTACTACTCTGATAGCCACCTTAACTCAAACTTTTATTCAATCTACTGCCGAAATTTGTAGCCAATTTGATGAAAAAAGTTGCAGACCAAAACGTTTTTACTTAAATTGTCTACAATTTACACTGCAATTTGACGTCAAGACTTGCAGTACAAGTATTTTATTCAAGTTGTAGCAAAATTGAAGTAAAATTTATCCAAAAGGTCGGTGTTAACTTGTATTCAAATTAGGGCTATAGATTTTAGTCAATTTATTTACAACTGTTGTACTGTAAAAATTTATACGGCAAACTTGCCATCAAGTTAACTGTAACTGCTGAAATTCAACTACTTTTAATCAAAGCGTGGCTATCAGGGTACAGTGTAAAAAGTTTCTGAAGCGAATAGAGTAATTTGCAGACTGAAACAGATTGGTAACAATATTTAGGATGCAGTAACTGATAAGCTGCACAAATGAAAGCTGATAGAAACGATCAACTTTCTGTTTTATCAGTGAAACATAGGTAAGTTAGCCTTAGCCAAAACGCTGAAGTATATATACTTCAGCTATATAGCTTATTACCCTGATTGCCAGTCTTCGTTCACTTAACATCAAGTTCATTAATATTTCTTAGATAACAGTTGTATACAAGTTGATGAAAATCAACGGCGGAAATTTGAATGTAGGTCAACATCAGACTTGTAATTGACGCTTTTAATAAACTACATGTATTTGGATGTAAATCTTGATTTCAAATTGCAAAATAACTTCCCAAGCATCACAAAAAAAAATGTTGACTTTTTGGGAGATTTTATTTAACAAGAAGTTAAAAATTTAGAATTGTCTACTTAAATTAAACAAAACATCACCAAAAAAATTTTTGTGCCGCTTGGGTTACTGCAGCTTAATCAAAACTCCCGCTTTTCCAACTCTTTGTGTTTAGTTGACTCCAAATTGAGGCTGCAGATTTACGATAAGTTTCAGTTAACATGGTTATCAAAATTGATATCCATTGGCATGCAGACTGACTGCGAATCTTGGTTTTTGAACCTCTGCAGCCAACTTGCCACTTATCAGTGTTTCAGATTGACATCAAGCTCCACCAATTGATTGACGTCAATTTGACAGCAAGATTTACACTCAACTTGACTCATGATAAAACAACTTTTGTACTGTAACTTCGGTTGTAGGCAGGTTTGATAAAACGGCAGTAAACATTAAGTCAAAATCACCATACTTCTAACATCTCGAAAAGACACCTGAGAAAGTAAAAAACGTTTTAGACAACTCGATGATAAGTTCTGAAAGGAGATCAACATCAACTCAGCAAAGATCATTTTTCTTATATAGCGATTAATTACTTAAAAATTTAGCAAATCTAATTGATCTTTGATAGAGTTTAAAGCAAAGTGAACTGTATTATTTGATTGAATGGAACGCATTGCGTAATCAATATTAGTTTAATCAAACGATTGTTATTTCATAAAATCTCTGAAATAAAAGCCGATATTATTAAAATTGTCATTATTAAATCACAACAACCAAATATTATAAGTACTTCTTCATTTCTTTTTCACAACTTTCATTGTTATAATAAAGAGTTTCTTTAGCATATGTCACTTCCCATCCAAAACTCCAAGATCATCCCATTCCTTAAGCATTCTCACCATCCTCACGCGGTAATCTTCATTATTATACACATCTGCATTGAATTCTCCATCGTCCAGCATGTCATCAAGCTCCTTAGCGTGGTTCTTACTCGCCATCATGATTGGAAGACACGTACTGGCTATCATGAATCCAAAGATCTCGCAATCAAATAATATTTTCTTGATATATAGAAAACTAGGAGTACAAGTTTTGCACCCAATTATTTTCATTGTTAAAAAAAGCGTTTCTTGATATTCTTTAATCAGAAAATTTTTGTGATGTACCATTACTTTTTCACTTGGGCTCGTGTGAAGAAAGTACTGAAGATCCAATGCTGGAGTTCCGTAAAAACAAGCTTGAAAATCGACCTATAAACGAACATGCAAATAAAAAATATTTACTGTATTTTTTTCTGATTAAAAATCTCCGATAAAAATAAAAAAAAGAATAGTCCATAAGTGCGCGCTCCACAATCTTACAGAATTTTTCTAATTTTCTAATTGTTCTAATTTTCGAAATTTTATCAATCCATATTTTAAAATGTATCGAAGAATGGAATATTCAGAAGCAAAATACGTCGATGACTCAATTTTTCAATATTTTATGGTAAAAAATAATAAATATTGTAATTCTAGACTATTAAAGAATCAATCTAATAGCTTACTTAAATTACTTACAAAAATTTGATCTATAACGTCTCCTTTATCACCGTACTTGAACATCAGATTATTCACCCAAACATCACCGTGGTTGATTACGTTAAACTCATCTTCTCTCAGCTCTAAAACTCTGAAAGCTTTAAATAACACTGAATCTTGCAAGTTTTCAAGCTTTTCTATACATTCTTTACTCAATTCTGGCCATGATTTAGCTGCTTTAACCATTGCTTTCATTCCAATTGTAATAAATTCACGCAATGTCGGCGGACAATTTTCACCGAATACTCCTTTAGAACAAAACTCCTTTACTTTAGGTTTCTTAAAAAAATTCTAAGTATTAGCTTGGATGAAAGAACAATTAAAAATAAAACTACTTACGTTTTCACAAAGTAATAAAGAACTTGCATGAAACTTAGCAACATTCCGTACTACTAGTGTGCAATGATCAAGATCAAGGCCAGCTTGGCGGTCAGCCATTCGAAATCCCAAAGGAGCTAAATCTTCGAGAACTAAGATTGGTGGATTATTTTGTTGAGAGAAGTAACATCTTCCACTCAATTTCGTATTTTTCAAAATAGATTCCATGTCTTTTAAAACCTCTGTCATAATATTTATCTCAACACCAAATATGTCAAGATCTTCAATCTAAAAGATTATTAAATTTTTTTTAAAAGTTTACCGATTTCATTTATAATCGTGAAAATGAAAACTTACCAATTCTTTTTGTAACTGTTGAGTGGAACGAGCGACTTTGACGATAACTGAACCTCTTTTAGTCACTGTTTTACTGAGTTTTCTGCGAGTTATGTCAAAAGACACCCGGTACATCTTACTGTTGTTATTATCACCAATACTAGTTGCCATCATGACATCAATATTTGCCACAGAAATCGAACTATCTTTGTCTGCATTTTTGAGGGCATGTTCAATAAATCCGGCTGTCAACCATTCCGGAAGATCCATTTTTAATTTTTTTTTAAAGATGAAATCTTTTATTTTAATATTTTATTATACAAAGTACTTAGAAACGACAACGCTATTGCGAGCGATAACATTTACTGTCGACCTAATTTCATTCTTTCTGACAATATTCCATCAAGGTGATGGTGAATAATAGATACGTAATCTTAGTAATTTTTAGAAAAGTCAAATATATTTCATAACATTGCGTGATGGATATTAAGTTAATCTTCGAGCTCAAAAAAATTTTTAAGTGGCTATAATTATTAAACACGTTGTTCGACTATGACATGCTTGGTGGCATTCGACGTAGTTTTTTGAGTACAAAAAATAATCCAAAAAGAAATGTCGCAGTTATGTGAAAAAAACACTTTTGTTTCCAAATTTTTCATCAACGGTATCTCTCGAACCAATCAACCGATTTTGACGTTTTTGGAGTCGATTAACGTGGTTTTTCGCGGTTAAAAACTGATTAGTTTTTGGAATCGATTGGCAAAGTCGTTTAAAAGTTATTCCAAAAAAACCACATTTGAAAAACTTTTTTTTCATAGTTTTTTTGAGATTTCTCAAAATCTACCGATCTGAATCGGTCCAAATTCTATTCAAAATATAAGTTTGGTCAAGCTCTTTCGAATGGCGCCAACCGCGATCAAATCGGTCAAGCCGTTCAAAAGTTGTAAGCAGCTTATATACGGTCGTATACATACGGCCACACACACACACGCGCGCGCTCACGGACATAGTGACAATCCTGGAGAAAATGATCGGAATCGCTTTTAGAAATTAAAAAAAAAAATATGAAAAACTCTGCTAGTGTGACGTCATTTCCGGCGAGCCCTCGAAAAAAAGATACGTCCGCGTAATCAGCAGAACTCCTAGCAGGATCATCAGAAGTGAAAAAAAAATATGTGCTTTAGTTAAGACTTCAAACTAGTTCTTGAACGAAGGAAAAAAAAATGAAAGTTGGATTTTTGGGAGAGGTTTTTACGAAAAAATTTGGCTAAAATTTTGCGGCATTTTTTTTTTTAAATAGTTGTAATTGAAAAAAAAAAATCCTTTGTTCAAGACCTTGTAAATTATATCTCGAAGACCTGTCTAAAATTTCATCAAGATCGGTTGAGTAGTTCTCGAGAAATCTTGGGTACCGTCTTTGAAAACATAGTTTTGAGAAAAACGCGTTTAAAGTTTTGACAATACAACAGCGCCTTGAGCGCGCAAAACTTTTTAAAACTGTATCTCCGAAACTATTATTCGAATCGATTTGAAACTTAGTTAGGAACTTAGTTGAAACTTAGTTAGAACATAGGACCATGTTCTAGAGATGTTGTAGAATTTAGGGCCAGTTTTTCAATCCAGGATAAAATTTTATCCAATGATAAAATATATCTATATATTTCATATATATATAAATATACTGGCAATAATAATTTTATCCTGGATAAAATTTTATCTTGGATTGAAAAACTGGCTCTTAATAAGACAAAAAAAAATCGATTTTTTGAAACTGTGAAACCCATGTAACCCTTTAAGTTAATTTCTTCAACTCGGGTCGATGCAAATAAATCTGGTGATTATGAAAAAATCACTTCTGTAAAAACTTTGACCAGTGATATTTTTTGGAAGAGTAAAATTTTGAACCGATTTTGTAATAGTTTGCGCGCTTCGCTCGGCCGGATTACTAACTCGGTCTAAATAAAAATGCGCCCATCATAGCCTCAAACTCGTGATTTCACTTCAAGCCGTCAGAATGACTATTTACAAATAATAATGAAATCATTAAAGCATAGCGGTGCAGCTCGGAATACCCTAAAGAAATTGTGACAAATTTTTTTTAATTTCAAAATGTTTTTAAATTAATGTTGAACATAATTTCACACTTTTTGAAATTTATAACAAAAATTTTTAATTTTCAACCAAAATCTTAATGATAAATTTGCTAGATTCTGAACTTTATTGTGTTTCTTATGTATTCATGGCTATAATTCTCCATTTGTAATTATAATAAGAATTAAATAAAAAAAGTTCTTTTTTTCTCTTGTTAGTAACTAATAGAAAAATTGAGACACAGCTAGAATATTTTAGGGAGGGAATACTGTAAAACCGAATGTCCATATATTTAAGGTATCCCTTGAAAGCGGTCATACTTTCAATTTTTCGACAATTTTTGTTAAACGTTAAAAAAAATAATAATTATCTACTGTGCACTCTAAAAAAAAATTGAAAAGATGATTACAATGATGAGTTAATTAAGAATTAATTGAAAGAAATTAATTTTATATACAATTTAATTTTAAAGTTTAATCAAATTTTTCCGCAAACAGTATTTCCCTGATAGCCAGAATTTCTGACCAAAAAGTTGGTGTCAAATATGTTGCCATCAACTTATTGACAACTTGCCGTCAACTTCTAAATTTACGACTGTTGGTGACAAGTTGGGGAGAAAATTGACAAAACTGTTGCTGTAATGTGTCGCCCAAGTTGATGCTTGAGAAACTTGTCGTCATCTTGACAGCAAAAAGTTTCAGAAAAAGTTTTTGCTGACACGTTAATAGCGCCAACTGATGAGTTCATTTCCTAATAGTTGCTGTCAACTTTTGGCTATCGGGAATTATTTTTCTACGAATCCAATGCTCTCTTACGATTGAAGTAAATCATCAAAAGAAACAGTAGGACTGTATTACTGGGGGTCACCAGACTACGTTAAAATTTAGTATATTATCAGCTGACTTTAAGCTTTACTCAGTGATACTAAACTTAACTAAAAAACCTCATATTATCATAAATATGTACTGGAGAAAATATTTTAATAATTTTTTCATTAATATAAATCGCAATTACAATTACTGATATTAACGTTCATTAAAAAAAAAAAAAGGATGTAAATTTGTTAAGAAAAAAATAATTAAGCTCAGTTATCAGTGTATTTTGTAACAGATGTTTATTCACCAAGAAATATGTGAAAAGTGTTTAATCACATTTTATTTATTAGTTTATACATAGGCAAGGTTGATTTATTATTTGTATTTTTGTCGTTTTCCTACTTTAACTATCATACACGTATGTGTTTTTTCTTTCATTCCAATTGTCTATAAATAAGTAACTTTCCTTTTTTTATCAATATAGTTATTTACTTGCAAATTTTTATTTTTTTGTTATTCTAGTTTTGTTAATAAAAATAATTGTAATAATCATAATTAAAATAATAATAATAAAATAATATGTAATAAATGTTTCCTTCGGCTTACATCTCTCAACTTAATTTAATATCTTAATTATTATCTTTAGTAATGATAGAAAAAATAAGTCTTTTAAATAATCACAAAACAGCCATTGAGGATTACAATTTATCATTTTTTTTCCTTATGCAACAGAGATAGCCTAATGAATGATGAAGATATATGAATAGATTTTTCTTATTTAAATAACTCTTAAGAAATAATAATAATAATAATAATAATAATAATAATAATAATAATAATAATAAAATAATAATAATAATTATGATAATGAGAAAATTGAATGAAAAGTAAAAAAGGAAAAAAAATTCTGCGTTACATATTTTTTCGTTATGCAAACGATCAGTTCTTACGCAGATGTATTATCTATTATTTGTTCAATTGAATTGTAAACCATTATGCCCAAAACTTTTTCGGATTTCCTTTTTAAGAATAAAAAAAATTATCAAAAAAATCTCATGTTCATACTCCATTTTAAAATTTCATGCCATTAATTGCCATAAAAACAACTTTAAAACTAAATCCTAAATTTTAATATTAAAAAATAAACTGTGTCTTAAAATACGTTACATAAAATTTTTAAAAGAAGTACGAGAATATAATAAAGTATAAAATCCTAAGAAATTAAATTGAAAATACCGTGCTAATTTAAATCAGTTAATTGTCTGAGAATCAGTTTTTATAATGGAAATATTGTCACGCAGTGATTTTGATGATGCGTTTGTTACAATATTATAATTAAAATTTAGATTAAAAAATAATGCATATAATCATAATATTAAATAAAATTATTAATCATTTGATACATTCAATTCACAGATGAAATGCTTTACGTACTTGCTTTACGAATTATAAATACACTCACATTTCTCTCCATGTATAAATACATAATAAACCTATACATGTCGTTTTACACATTTTTCTGACTCTAAATTCAGATATTAATGCCTTCGCTTTTCTATATCACAATTAAATACCATTTTTCAATTAATTTTTATTTAAATTGTATAAACGATTGGCAACTCTTAATTTTTTTTTCTATTTCTTACATCATCATCATTTTCATCACCGCTATTATCAGGTATCTAGAAAAATATAGAATTTTTTCTGTGTATTAAGTAAAGTAAAACTCAATTCGCAGATAAAAATTGAATACTCATGTAATGTGCATCAACATTTTGTTGATATTTAAATTATAAATTCAGATTTTTTTTCTTGTTCATTAATTTTTGGATTTTAGAAACGAGTTTGGCAATAAGCGTGCATAGATTTTATTGAAGAAAGTAATGAGAATAATCTATGCATATAAATTGAATTGCGCTTAATACTAAAGCGGAAAATATAAACTGATAAAATAGTAATAAATTCTTATTAACTTTTTGTTTCATTCGTCCATAAGTAGGACGGAGTTGAGATATATATATTTTTTAAAGGAAGGACGTGTAGTGGAAAACCCGGGAATAGAATTGGGCAGAAAATTCACAGAAGTGAATGAGAATGAGGTGGAAAAGAAACCAAATGTAAGTCGTTTTATTAATATTTTTTCTTGTTTCTCGTGTCGTAAATCGACGATATTTTCGTGAGGCATTCAAATAAGCGGATGCAACGCTTCTCTATCTAATCTATTTCAAGTACGTAGACGTGTCGCACGCTTGAATCGCTTATGATTTATCATCCTTATTAATCGCACTTTCTATTTGTCCTTGTACGATTTCATTTTTATACTCGTCAGCAACAGCAACGTCAGCATTAGCGGCAGTACTTGAATTATCGCCATCCATTTCTTGATAATTATTATCACCATTAACTGGAATTTTAGTAATTATTCGGCGATGTCACAATGGCGGTGGAATTGAAAATTCTCTGCGTACGTAAAAGAGAATATAAGGCTTGCACTTGGCAACAGACTCAGTGCTTGCTGGACGTACGCTACTATCATTGAAATGAAACCACTGGCCATCGTGAACAGCAAAGGCAGTATAATGTCCAGTGCCCGCACTAAACATAATACATGGTTATTATTCTTTTAATTTTATTCTTCTTTTTTCACATTATTTTTAAATTAATTTGCATTTAAATTATATACACTTTCTCTATAAATATTTTAAAAGTTAATTACTTTATTATTTGCTCTCGCGATACAAGCTTATATAAATACAACAAGCTTTGACTAGACAGGGTATTTATTTTTTATTGTCATAAGCTATTATTTCAATTATTAGAATATAAAAAATGTATAGAAGTCTTTATGATTTGAAAATACGAACAAAATATCTCAAGCATTCATGCATCATTAAACAAACATCATCCATAGAATGATAGCAAACATTGTTCTTTTTTTCATGGAATAAAATATTACAATTTAACGTTTTAGGTATTCGATTATACTAAAAAATTTGAAAATAAATTATTGTTAAAAAAAAAAAATTAAATAACACACTTTAATGGAAAACAAAACTAAAAAGTAGAAAATAGTTATTAAGATTTTGGTCTATAGTAAAAGAAAGTCCATTTAGTCAATATAATTCGATGATTTTCAATAACTTTAAAATAAGAAAAATATTAATTTTATTGCAAAAAAAAAGCGTACGGTGCTTTTTACTATATTTTTATTTGTAACTCTGCTTTTACAAATAGTTACGAACCAAATAATTACAATAATTGATATTAAGAACTCTAAGCTTTTTTACAATTAAATGAACTTTTTTTAATGTATCAAAAACCAATGACTTGAATAAACAATATCAGCAATTTAAAAAAAAAAAAGCATAAATGAAAAGTCACCAGTTTAAAAATTACCGAATTAAAAATAAATAATCATTAATAATATTCCTAATTGATCATCTAAAATAACGTCATATGAAAAATGAGGTTATTGTAAATTACGATCTTTAAAATTTTTAGAGTCGTAAATATTGCCACTGTTGATATTACAAATAAATTTATCTGCGAATTCCAATACTTTCCAATAACTGTTTTTTAATTTCTCATTTTACGATACATTTAATTTATTTTGGACATTATTTACGTTTCTAATATTTGAGAAATATTATTTTTTACATTAAACTTAATTTACAAATGGAAAAATTTTATGATTTCCAAATTTTAGGACCAGTTTTTCAATCAAGGATAAAATTTTATCCAATGATAAAATATATCTATATATTTCATATAATATCAAGTCCTCGACCAAGGCGTGTAAAGATTTTCCATTAAAAAAACACAGAAACTCTGATTTTTTTATCTGTAAATTTCTGTAGCTCAGTCGCATTTTCTATCATCACTTCGACCATGGACGGGTTTTTTCAGAATTAAATGCTCTACAAAAATGTCCATTGCGGCCAAGCCGTAACTCGAACGGGCGAGGTAGTACAGGCCTCTAATCTTGATTTTTTCTATGAAATTCGCGTTTTTTCGCATTTAGTCGCTAAAATCAATATTTTCGGAGATATTTAAAGATGTTTTAAAAAGATAATTTTTATAATTTGACGCAATTTTCAATAAAAATTTGAAATTACAAAAAATCTATCATTGAATATCTCTGAAAATATTGATTTTAGCGACTTGGTGCTTAGTACCTTTTTTTGTAGGAAATTGAATTTTCTACAAGTTTGTTTTCTACTTTCTTTCAGTAGCTCTTGTCATTCACGAGATTTAATTCTGAAAAAACCCTCCATGGTCGAAGCGATGCTAGAAAATGCCACTTAGCTACAGAAATTTACAGATAAAAATATCAGAGTTTCTGTGTTTTTTTTAAATTGGAAATCTTTACACGCCTTGGTCGAGGACTTAATATTAATATTAAAGGCCCAAACTTTCAGGGAATTTTTTTTTGGGTACTTGCAACAAAATTTCACGATGAGACCGAAAAAAAGCACCCTATTATATGTATACACCCTATTTATAAATATATATATATATATTTTTTTTTTTAAATTATTTCATACAAAATCATTGACAACTACATTACTGATAATGAAATTAATAGTTTAAATGAGTACTCACCCTGATCCATGATGAACAATAACGGCAGCTAGATCATAGAGATGGCTATTTTGGGCACCAATCTTAACGCCAGCAGATCCACACACGGTGAATGTTGACATATCAAGTGATTCCATGGGAAAATCAACTTGTGTATCCACCTTGGAGCGATACGAGTTGCACCACCTAAATCTTTTTATGTGAAGGCACAACACCTGGAAGAGAAAAACGCTCAGATAGTGTGCAAAGTAATATATTTTATAAATATACAGTTCAAATGCATTGATAGAAGATCTTGTTAAATTTTGTATCGCTTTTTAGTTGAAGAATAAAAATAAAAATAATTATAGCAATTAATTAACAAAGAAAATAAAGTAAATATATAGATTATAGCAACTAACGTTAGGCAGCCTGTGAATCCAGAACCTTTTAGTAGATCGTTGTTTTCCCATACAGTTATTACAGTAGTAAAGTTCACTATCAGCTAGCTCCTCAACTTTGAAGAAACGAGAGAGACTGAATGTCAAACTGCACACTTCTTCTTGCTCTTTTGTTGCTGTTCTTCTCTGAAATTTATCCGGAATATCCAAAGAAAGATCTTGAAAAGGTTCATGGGTTTTTGAATCTGTTCGACAGTTCATGCAATGTACCTAAATTATGATAATAGAAGGCATTAATAAGCAATTTAAATGAGGAAAAATTATGTTCATTTATGTATATTATCAAGATATGCCTTAATTTACATACCACACTGAGTAAAGCGCCACCAAATACTGCAGTAACGATACTTTGTTTGCCACGAAGTCCTAGTGGTTCGTGACCAAGTCTTGGTAAGAGTTGCAATAACTCTGTGTGAAGTCTATCGAGCATATAAGTGAGAAATTCATGAGCATCTTGTTGTTGATAGCCTCTAAAACGTGGGACCACTTTCCAAATTACTAAAAAGAGACATTCTGGTGATATTGCTTGACCATTTGAACTACCTAAACTCAATCCTAGTAAAACCTATAAATTAAAAATCATTTAGTTTATTATTATTATTATTATTGTTGTTATTATTAAAACATAATGAGTAACGAGCAGTAGAACTAAAAATACTGAAAAAAGAATAAAAGTAAAATTCGAGTTACTATGGCTGCTTTTAAAAGACTGTTCGTCAAATGTTTTAAAGTGAATATTTATATTGAAAATTATTAATATGACTTGATACGTTACAGTAAATACTATGAACATATAAATTTGAAGATCATAATGATACAAATTGTATATTCAATAGATTTAATACATGTATATGGTCAAAATATAAATAAAGAAAGTTATTAATATTATTTATTAATTATCACAAGTATTTATCAATATTATTCATGTCATGTATTTAAAAAAAAAAAGTATCTATAATTAAATTTCATGTACCATTGAAATTTGTAAATATTCAGATAAATTTTCAGCATTTATTATAATTTAAAAAACTTTTTACAAATATTTATGAGGATTAAAAATGGAATTTTAAAGCGATGGACAGTAAAAATAAAATTTCCATTTTGTTATTAAAAAGCAATAGGTGTTACCTTTCTAAGTTCTTCAGCAAGTAATGCATCGCTTAGTTCTTTAGCTCTACCGGGAGCAACAATCCGTCCTCTATGAGTTGGCGGTTCATCAAAGGCAATGCCCTCAAGACTTGGCATCTGCGTAAGGTACTCACAAAAATGGCTGATGTTATTAAATGATTGAAGTACAGCATTCATAAAACATGTATTGCCGAGATTTCTTAATCCAACAACTTTTTTCTCTTTGGTAGCCTTGGAACTTCGTCGTTTGGGAACTGGTCGATTATCACCGCTTGTTTCATCAAACGAATGAAGTCTCTTGCGAGTACGAGGTCGCAAATTTCTTACAACAACTTCATTTTTCCATATCGCATCTGAATCAGTATCTCCATTTCCATTGTCTAATCCTGATGAGGACGATGAACTCCAATTTTCATCGTTTTCTTTATGTTCAGCTTTGCGAAATGTATTTTGACGAATTTTTTCTATTTGTCCGGTTGATGTATCATTAACAACATATTCGTCACATGAATAACTGAAATTCATCATTTTTTAATATTAGTAAATATACAAATAAATAAATTAATTAAAAATGAATATTTACCAAAATACAGATAAATTTTCGCAGTCGATGCATACGCAGTGATGAGTATTTTTCTCATGATGTTGCAGTGCGTGGCCAGACATGTAACGCCCACAATGTACGTTCCCGCAGTGTAAGCATAGCCACGTACTTTTCTCCGTTCCACATACTGAATTTTATATTAAAAATTTTGTTTTAATTATAATATAATTATCATTACCAGTGCATCAAATAATTATTGAGCATATTAATCATTGTTAATTAATTAATTATAATTATTTGATCAGATTGTTGTTTATATATTCTATTATTAATTAATATTTATATTGATTCGAGTTTCATTAATGTTTATGCAAATGTTACGATAACTATTAAATAATTTATTTATTTAATACATGTCTTTGTATCTTCATACATAATCAAACTTGAGGGAATTGTTGCTAGCATCTTTAACTCAAAAATTATTTTTAAATTATAAAAAATTTCTAGAAATAAAAATTTAATATAATTTTAAATACATCAAATGTTTCAACTGTCTGACTTGAAGTTTTTTTAACATTTATTTATTCATATAATATTAAAGTTTGCATCTTAATATCAACCCTACTTCGTTCATCACATTTTGATCTAACAACAGTTCAATTTTAAAGTCTTATAATATTTGTATAATACTCGAAACTTGAACGGTAAAAACCAGTTTAATTTTTATGTAATCAATTTAATAATTTTCTTAGTTTTTAGTAATAAAATTTACGATTTTTATGGAGAAAAAAAAAATTAATAATGCAAGACAGCGTGACTTAAAGAGCAGTAAAAAGACAATTTTTTGATTGTTTTTTTCTAAGTAATCTACATGAACAAATACTACGACGATCAATAACTTCTGGGTTCTTTTATTTTGCTTTTATTTTGTACTTTCGTGTGTATTACTGGAAAAAACCGTCGCAAATTGTAAGGGAATAAAGGAAGTAGACAGCAGTAAAAAAATAATAAAAATGAAAAAGAAAAAGACACGTTTCCTTAAGTTTAACGTATAGTTTCGAGGTCGCTTAGAATCGTAAAATAGAAAAGAGAAAATTAGGAGAGAAAAGTTTATTTCGGAAATTGAAAATATTAGTTTTCTCATTTGTTAATTTTTTTCTTTTTTTTTTTTAAGAAGTACTATAAAAATGAACTGTGAATTTTTTCAATCTGTTTTGGACTAAAAAATTATTTCAAAACAGATTGCAAGAAAACAAATTAAAGTCATAATAATTGAAAATGATAATTTGGAGTATAAATTAGAAATTTACAGTGAAAACTGTGATGAGATAGATCTTGGATCAGCTGATTAGCGTTTTTTACTATTGATTTTATAATGAAAAGTGCGCGCGCAAGTGTACAATGAACAATAACTGTACCGAGGTCTTCTATGTAAATAGTAAATACGCATATGTATCCATAAATATATACATGTAAACAAATAATAAAACATGAGTTCAATATCTTTACATGTAACAAAAAAAGTTCAGACCTTAGCTTGCATAAGTCATAACTAACGTGGACTTGGAAATAAAAAAGTAAGCTCTCAGTAGATAACAACTAAACAATAAATTTCGTATGTTACATATTGAACTAAGAAATAATTCAATGGCATATAATAGAAAATATATCAAGAAACAAAAAATATCCATAAAATGCCGTTGGATATTCGCTAAACGAGCGCACCAAGGCCAAAAGAGTAATGGCCTGTGAAGAAAGGGATAAGGTAAAGAAAAATGACTTTTTAATTTAAATCTAAAATCAATACATGCATAATAAATAAATAAAGAATAGTTAAATTTATAGTATGTAGTAATTTTAATGGTTTTGTAGAAATATATATATATATATAAGTAAATAAAAAAAAATTACCTGCACAAACGAAAGGTAAATTTTTTATGTCATTCCATTCAATATCATTACTCCCAAGTCTTACACTCTGTGCAAGATGCGGACACTCCATCTCTCAGAACACTATAAAAAACTTAATTTTAATATTTTTTAACAATTGTTTTCATTTGGGCCCTGTTGTCATTAATTATAATTTTTGTTGAGCGCACTTGACACTATTAATTATTACCCAGTGTGTCGATTTTAGTATGCATTTACCAATAAATTGTTAATAATATATTTTTTAAGTTAAAAATTCAATGTGTAACTTTTTATCTATTGTGGCTGGGGTACACGCGTAAGTACACTAAGTACCCCTTTTTACATATCAGCACCCTTGTCACATATCAGAGGCCTGAACACGTTACTTTGCAACTGATGGATTTATGGATAGGTTTATTGGTGTGGTGATAAAAAAAATTAAATAAGAACTCAATGCGCAGCAGCAATGAGTCTAAATAACGCTTGCAAATTATGAAGATTAGCTAAAATAAAAAGAAAAAATTTAGAATTAAATGAAAAAATTTTTGATACTTTATTTTTAAAGTTGAGATGTAATGAAAGATTACCAATGAGTACAGCTTGGCTTGACTCGGCGATGATTTAAATTTAGTGTGAATTTTTCGTTTGTTCGTTGTTTTTTCTTTTCTTTTTTTTTTTTGTTTTTTTTTTGTTTATACAGACAATTAATTATGTGTATTAAATATCAAATTTTGTTGATTTTTTATAATTCTTTCGATTAATAATGGCGGTCACAGATACACATTGAATGTAAAATTTTAAAAACGTTGTAGTGAATGTGTAGAGCCAGTGGATGGCAACGGCGACGATGATGTCGCCTCTTAGGGCTGATTCACGCCACGTATTGTTAAATAAATAAAATTCATCCAGTTAATTTAATTATTATTGTGGATTGACTAGACTTGAACTCACTACCTAAACTGATCACACAAATCGACATCGACCTCGTCTTGGGGTTTTACTGTATACTATTCGCATCTATACATATTGTACATGTATATGTACTCATAAGTATATGTAGGTATGTGTATGTGTGTGTATTCTATACGAGAGTATATACGATGCATACATAGGTATATGATAGCGTCGTCAGGTTGATTTAGGTATTGAAAGTTAGGTAAGGCAACACTTGCGCACTCTTACTGCGTGAGATGAAACTTTGGGTCTACACACTTAATAAATATTAAGGTATATTTATTACATTTTTAAATAATAATTTTAAGACAAGATATAAATTTTTTGTTTAACTAAACGAGTCATCAATAAATACAAGTTTTAGTTTAATTTCAAGTTAATTATAAATGATATTTCAATTATTTATATTTCTAATTAAAAAATTTTTCTAGAAATTGTTTTTTTTATCAATTTTCAATTATCGGAGTTATTTTAATACTTGAAATTTGTTGTAATATTTTTTAAGAATGGAAAAATATTGTAACAAAAATCGCGACTATTGCAATTTAATACTAACTTTAAATTAATTCTCAAAAGTAAAATTCCAATTACTTCCATGAATTTTTCGTCATTAAAATTACAAATAACAGCGTTAATTTTTTTTTTTTCATAAATTAAATTTAATCTTCTAATGTAACAGTTAATCAAAAAGAAAAATGAAATTACAAATTAAAAAATTCAATTGAATCAATGCAAAGTTATAGATTGTAGGATGAAATTGAGGAAACAAGTAATAGTTTACTCGCAAGTAAATAAAGGAATGAAATATAAATTATTTGATCTCTCAAATTTGAGATTTATTGAAATACATCAAATTTGAAAGTTGGATGTTATTATTTTTTTTTTCAATTTATAAAATAAGCAAAAAATTAATTTCTTCGGTTAAATTGATGCGCCGGTGGCTGGACAAGCTGAAGAACAGAGATGTTGCTGAATTCCAACATCTTCAACATTTCTTTAGTTTCCGGATCGACCTCGATCACGTCGTGTTCGAGAGCCGAAACTTCTGGAACGTAGTTGTCTCTGCGTTCTCTCTCTTCCTCTTGAAGCTTGATTGAGATTCCACGGACTTGGCTGTGTCTCAACCTCTTCATTAGATGCGTAACGAACCTATAAATTGAAAAAAATAAATATTAATTTATTTTCAAATATCTCAATTGACAATGTAACAATAAGATCGAAATTTCATTTTATAAGTTTAATAACTATTCGTTCATAGTACTGGAATAGCCAAATATCAGAAAATTTTTCCAATTAATTTTTTTAATAAATAAATGATTAAAGAGAAAATTGAAAATTTTTCACATATAAGAAGATGAAATATTTAAATTTTATAAATATATAAATTTTTTAAACGAAAGAAACAAAATGCTAATATTTGTTGAACTAAATATATTAATTTTGTATTAATGGATCCTCTTAATTTGAATAAAGTTAATAAAAACTTTAGTTACAAAAATCATCAATACATTGATTTATTGTAAATAACTTTTTTACAAACGATAATAAAGAGAAAAAAGTATCTACTATCCGGAGATTGAAAATATTTTGAAATTCTATACTCGAATCAACAAAAATTTAATTAATACTAAAACACTATTAGAATAAAATTGCATGAATAATTTATTGAAAGTTCTCTGTGTAAACTTTTTTATCACTCATTTTTTATAATAAAATAATAATAATTGTTATAATTATTATAAATGTTATTAAATTATCAAATAAATTTTATTTGATAATATTAGCGTCATTTAAAAAAAAACTGGTAAAAAAAAAGCATTTGTTGTCGTCTTAAGAAATCATATTTATTGTCACTATCCGCATGCTAGTTACCGACGTAAACAAATCAAATATTTATTTAAATTACTTACCCAGCAATCTTGTTTTTAAGAGGCTTGCTCGGAATGATAGCAATCTCCTCGCATATTCTCTTGTTGGTGTGAAAATCGAGCGTCAACCGAGTGTAATACTTCTCGATGATGACCCTAGCGGCCTTTTTGATGGTCTTGGTACGTACGCGACCCTGGAAATATAAATAAATATTAATTTAATTGCCATGATATTATATCTATCAATAATTAATAGAATATTAGAATCCACTTTTAAAAATTTTCAACATTATACTTTAAAAATTTAAATCATCGAATCTTGTGAACGCTTAACCAACAAAATTAATTTGCACCCACGTCCACAAGTATTACATGATGAAAAACTCATTCAGTGGATAAAAATTATAAACAAACACTAAATAATTTTTAAATTGACTGCTAGAATAATTGTTATAAATTTAAGAAAGATTGCATTAAAAAAAGAGGATTAAATTATAAAATTAAAGAAAAATCTACCCACCATTATGGAGGCTCTGCAGCAAAAGAGGTTTTAGATATAATGATTTCAGGTTGAGCGCAACTCCAAGCTTTCTTATTGACTGAATAACAATTCTGAGTTCCGCACCAGCGCCATTTAATTTTTTTACCATCTAAGCATGTGAAAAAAAATAATTTTCATATTTACTCAGAGATGTCTCTTGTAGTACTTTTTTTAATGAATAATTTTACCGCGTGCATGCGCGCGAGGCGTATCTATAAACCCGACCATGCGCATTGAAAATAAAACATCTGGTCTTAAGGGTGTTATTTAAATTTGTTAGTTCAATCAGTTTATACCCTTATAGGTTAACTTATTTTACAAATGAAAACAAACTCCTGTCAGTAACTTTACTTAAGTCATAATCATACATCAAAACATATTTATTTACCTGCTTCTGCTTTCCAAAAAAAATTTTTCATATTTAGTTTTTGCAAAAAAGTTTTATGAAATTGTTTAAATAATTTGTGAAAAAGAGAGGGAGAAATGAAGCAAATATTAAACTGTTAGAAATTGACATGAATGTATACAGACACAGACACAAAAATAGTTACAGATAGAGATATCTGTTAACTCTCTTCATCAGATGGTATCTCCTGTTCAATAAAGAGAAACGTATAAAAATGGGTGAATGCGGGAGAGACTGAGTGAGATAATGCAAGAGCGTGGGAGATCCATCTATATATGTCTACAAGTACAGATATATATACATCTATATATATATATATATATATATATATGTAAAAGTACAGTCGTAGATGCTCGGGTATCGGGAGTTGAATATTATGGAGTACGGCGCGGGTAATGGTGGGGACAAGGGCAAAGAGGTTTGTTTATCGCTTAGTGAACGGCAAAAGAGAATTCGCTAGTCAGTCAGTGCGGTGCTTTCGTCCGTGTACGGTCGGGCGCGTGCTCTCTCTTTTTTCTTCATCTTAAAACATACATCCTGTTTTTATATATTAGCCGACTCTGTATTCCGGTTTTTTAAAAATATAAACGGTTCACTTGAAACTTTCGCGTACGCGTTTTGTATACCTATAAATATCTTTAAATACTTGTATTAAATAAAAAATATATTGTCGTGTTAAAAAAATATAATTGTGTGTTAATATATACATGTATTGAATCTCCGATTGAAATGTGTGTCAATGACGCGCAAATATATTTGTCAAATTAATAAAATTAATAACAATAATAATAATAATAATCATTGCACGTAAATTAAAAGGTAAATACGTTAAATTAGTACGTGAATGAAATTATGGTGTAATGACAGGTTATTGTGATAATTATCATTTAAATCACAATTATTATTTTTGGAATTTGATGGTTATTTTCGGGCTGGCTAATTGCGTTAGGTGAGTATCATTTTATTTTATTATTAAATACATCGTTATGTTATGATTTATGATGTAAAAATCATTGGACATCTGGCAATTTTTTTTTATTCAACAAATAAACTAGTAATACAAAAATATGTTCTAAAAATTGCACTCATAATTTTTTTTTTTTTTTTTTAATTTCTCCATGAACAATTTTTATAAAAAATTGTTTGTTAAGAAAAGTTATACCAATTGTCAGATGTTTGCTTATATCAGGATTATGATTGTGTTGATTAGTTTTTTATTAATATTTATTTTTATTTAATGTTACAGACCAAAACAAAAATTAATGGCAAAATACTGTTGTCTTAAGTAATTTATTAACATACTTATATGCGACACAATATTAATAAAAATAAGAACTAATTAATAACAAATGTGTGGATATATACTATGACTTCACGGTAGTAATCGTGGGTTGTTTCCAAGAGTGACAGACTATGCTTGATGAGACAGCTGGGTCAGTGCACCGTGTAGCGATGTCAGCCTCTGCTTAGTTCACTCTTTTTTTTTTTTTAATTTTACTTCTATTCCATTTTCTCGCGTGTTACAATTGTGTCATACTCTACAATATAGTAGCATACTGTTTCTCTTCCGTCACACAATACGTAACCTGAACATTTTTATTTCTTTAAATATTTTATTTTATTTATTAATTTTACATATATGTGTATACGTGCATTTATAGATATCGTTCATTATCGCAAGATATAAAGGAGCATATGTGCTGGTAATCCATCAGAGAGATCCGAGATTACTCATAAATCATGATTCATTATGTCATGATTGATGTAGCATAGGAGTATAGGTTCTGTGTCCTTGGTGTTGACTTTTTGTTTTTTTTTTTTTATTCCTCGACTCAATTTGATGTAAATCTTATCCTTTGTACATTGATTTGTTATTGTGTTACTAAACGCTGGTAGTAGTTATATTATTTATTTATTTATGTTAGTAGGAAATTTCATCATATCATATATAATATTAATATTATTTCAAGTTGGTTTGTAAATTCCAGCAATTGTTTCAAGTGTAGAAATACCTAAGCGCGGATAGGATTATTTATTTGCGGTAAAATGAAACTACAATGTTAACGGAAGAGGAATCAGATAATAAAGCCAAAAGCTCTAGTTGTTGGGAAAAATCTTGGTCGCTTTTGCGGTTGACTACTCTGTTCCTTTACGTTTATTTTAGTGTCTTTTTATTCTTCTTTTTCTAGCTTCTTCCATTCGGGATATACCTTCGCCTTTTACTGTTAGTAGTTCTTCGTTCGACTGTCAGCTGACCACACTCGAGATCCGGCGACTTTCACCTTCCGTCACAGTCTGATGGTATAGATATAAGAATGGATAGAGGAAAAGATACATTTTATTTTATGTATTAGTAGGTCGTTTAACTTAAAAAATTTTAATTCAGGTTTCAAGTAATCGGAGTAACTTAATTTGTGATAAAGATTTTTATATGATATAATACTTTTGCTCCAAATGTTTGGGTACCATCGATCGGATTACTTTCTTAACATTTACTTAACACGTTAGTTGATAACATTTGTACCTGGTAAAATATTTAATATATATTGGGCATCTATGTTTTTGTGTTGAAAAATATCATAACATAACTGTTCATGTTTAACAATTTTTTTTTTTACCACTTAATGATGTGAGTAATGAGGTGAAATTTATGATTTGGGACAATGACTACGTATTTTCAACCTTCTAAGTATCTTTTACTGAAGATATACATGACTTATTTTTTACTCCAAAGTTATCTATTATTACATGACTTCTCATGACATAGCTTTGGCTGTTACTGACATGAAAAGCTGTAATTAAAAAAACTTTCATCAATAATTACGGTAACTAACAAAATAAATTAAATTCTTTTTCATATAATCAGTATTGACACTACGAGTTTCAATGCCTGTTGAGCCAACCGAAATTAGTCAATTTCAAACTAATGCGACTGTTGCCGGATAGGAACTGATCGGTTTCTTTCCACTGAAGAAATTTGCAGCCCTGTTTTCGATCCTGTCAGAGTATCTTTTGTTTATTTCAAATCTTTATAATTGTTATTTATTATTCGATATTAGTCTGAAATTCTCTATAGTTTTGCTTAGCTTCTCGCTTTGTTCGAGCAGGCAACTTCAACCTCGTCTTGTTTCATCCCTCGTCACATAATATACTATTACACCACACATGTATCATTCTTTTATTTACTGACTATTAACTGTACTTGAAGGGAATATTTAGATCCGGAAAAGAGCTTTCATGCTCGACTGAGTGAACAGCTGAACCTAAAATGTACATCAGCTCTCTTGAATCATATTCTTTGTTTTACTAGGTTATTACTATATTAATCAACTGAATATACTCTCTTAGTCAACAATTTATACTCATTCTATTCTTTTTTTTCCAATTTAATAAATATACTCTACTATAAGCATTTATCAATAGAAAAAAATTTTTTGGTGTTTTTTAACTATCTCAAAATAAAATTACTGATTCTTTTGTCAAATAAAAAAATGTAGCAATGACGAAAATTCTATAGTAAATTTCGTAAGAGTTTACTTATTAGATTCCATAGTTGACTAATTAAAGAAGCGTTTTTAGATTGATTATTTATTAATATATAGAAACAGTTTTGAAGAACAAAATTACGTTGAATATTTTTTGTTGCCTATTGTATATTTTAACAAAATTGTTTTTGGTTGAATTTTTTGGCTTCCGTCATTATCATTCCAATTACGATCACGTATATATTATTCATTTGATGATCACAATGCACGTCAATATTATCTTTTAACTAATTTTTTTTTTTTTTTTTATAGCTGGCTGATAAAGTTAGTTTCGCTGGAACAATCACAGTGGATAATCGAATAATTACAATTACAATTTACTGTTGTTATTGCTGAAATTATTATCTCTACAGACTAATTGCTATCTGAGTGAAAATAATTAATTAATAATCGTAAAATAAAATTTTACTTTTAATAACGTTAATTTTATTGTTCATAAAAATTACATGATAAATTTATACGTTCATACATGTAATTATATTTTTTCGATACAGATCTATAATTACATCAATACCATTAATAGTAGCATAACTATTGTATTAAAAGAATGACTAGAAATCAGTTATACATATGTTTCTGCGTTATGAAACTAATTAAAGCTATTGTTAGAATATAATCTTAATATTAATTACTGTAGTTGTCTCATTGCAAAATATAGTAAATGCACAATTTTTAAATCTGATTTTTTTCTTCAAAAACTTTTTATAATATTTCTTCTAATACTTACAAGTCAGATTTTTTATCACTCAAAAGAGTATGTTTGATACTCCTTAATTAGACAAAGAAAAATATTGAAATATTTGCGCAGACAACGATTTTTTAGTTTAGGAATTAGTTGATATTGAACATTTAATTTATTAATAACTTGATAAAATAATATTAATATCAATATCAAGATCTGCCTTGATTATGATAAGCAAACTACCAAATAGCTTCATTTAAATATTATGATAATCATTTTAATCATTTCGACCAATTCTTCAGACAAGAAAATACATTATTGATAATTACCTAGAGTATATATATGTTCTTGTCAAGAAATT